ATATTACCTATAGATTTATCATCTAACAATATGTGTTATCCTTCTTTCTAACACACACACACACACACACACACACACACATTTCTTTATCTTATGTTGACCAGAATATCCAAGTTGGTATTGAATAATAACTATGACATGAAGTGTCTTGTTATGCTCATGATTTTTTGTGGAAATAATTCTGGTGTTTTACTGTTTAAAATGAAGATTTGGGATGCCTGGGTGGCTCAGTCAGTTACGCGTCTGCCTTCGGCTCAGGTCATGATCTCAGGGTCCTGGGATTGAACCCTGCATTGGGCTCCTTGCTCAGCAGGGAGCCCGCTTCTCCCTCTGCCTGCTGCTCCCCCTGCTTGTGCTCTGTCTCTTCCTCTGACAAATAAAGAAATAAAATCTTTAAATAATAAATAAAATGAAGATGGTCATTGTTTTGTGACAGCTGTCAAATTTTTATCAAATTTCTTTTAAGCATCTATCATAATGATGATCTAGTAATATTTTGTTTAGCATGTTTTGAAACTATAATGTGAGATTTATGTAGAGTCTTTTCTGGAGAATGTTGATAGAGTGTCTTTGTCAGATTTTTATTTCAGGTTAAGCACTAATAAACCGATGTCAGGTTGGTTGGTAATGGTTGCAGGCCTTCCTTTTCAGCCACACTTGATGAAAATTTTCATCTGCAGCTCAGAGGAAGATCTAGTGTGACCGCTTACCAAATATGTAGCAATACAAAATTTGAATGTAGATAAAATATATTATGTGATTGAACTAGATAGGTTAACTTTTAACCCAATGATATTCAGCAAATTGAAGTAAAAAGAAAAAGTACACAAGTCTAGGACTTTTTGATCTGTGGCTTAAGAGCATCTAGAAGAAATAGGTATGAATTTTAGTTTTCAATCCATCATGAAAAAAGTATGTGATGAGCTAGATGCAATTTTATTTTTATTTTATTTTATTTTATTTTTTTAAAGATTTTATTTATTTGAGAGAGAGAGAATGAGAGATAGCATGAGAGGGGGGAGGGTCAGAGGGAGAAGCAGACTCCCTGCCGAGCAGGGAGCCCAATGCGGGACTCGATCCCGGGCTCCGGGATCATGACCTGAGCCGAAGGCAGTCGCTTAACCGACTGAGCCACCCAGGCGCCCTAGATGCAATTTTAGACTCTGTTCCTTGGTTTGTAATATTTAAAATGAAAGTGATGCAGGCTGGCTGGGTCCAAGGATGCAGAGGGGGTCCCACAGGACCAGCCAAGAGGGTCCTTGGCTTCACACAGGATGGAGATCAAACATGAGCCCAGAGGAAGTGAGAGCAGGGTTTATTGAAGATTCATGGAGAGAGCAGATACAGACAGTCTGGGAGACTCAGAAAGGAAAGAGAGAGAATCTAATCTTTGCTTGGCATTTAGGGTTTGGATTGAAGACAGTGGTCTGTCCCCTCAGACATTCAGGAATTGGTCAAAACAAGGATGAGTTCTTAGACATCCTCCATAAGTCACTGAGGCTCTGGAGTCCGTGGTCTTGGAAAACAGTTGTGACGACCTCTCTTGGTCACTCCTTAGATGTTATCTGTTGTGCTGGAAGACTCTGAAGAAACCATTAACTCCTTGACTGTTACAAGGAGGACATACATTAAGGCATGTATAAGACAGGGAAACTGAAGGGACCGCATGAAAAAACTGTTTTTGTTCCTTTTCCTTCTTCTATTCTTGCTAGGACCTATACCCCCACCTTACCACATGCCTTAATATATGTTCTTCTTATAAAGGAGAAAAGATCTCTTATAAAGGAGAAAAAGATCTCCTCTTTTTATGTCAGATGTGGCCAACCTGGAGTATGACTTTAGGTTCTGAGGGCTACACTTTGAAGATGAAATAGAAAAAGATTTTTTTTTTAATTTTTAAAATTTTTTTAAAGATTTTATTTATTTTTTTGACAGAGAGAGACACAGCGAGAGAGGGAACATAAGCAGGGGGAGTGGGAGAGAGAGAAGCAGGCTTCCCACTGAGCAGGGAGCCCGATGTGGGGCTCGATCCCAGGACCCTGGGATCATGACCTGAGCCGAAGGCAGACGCTTAACGACTGAGCCACCCAGGCACCCCTAGAAAAAGATTTTTAGAAAAAGGTAATTTTTGGAAAATTGGTACATAATTGTAAAAAGTAGTGAGCAAACACAACATAGAGTCAGAGTGAAGATTCTCGAAGAAAAGTTCAAGATACTTTATATGGTATTATATCATGGAGAAAAACTAGCTCCTTGGGATTAGAAATTTGAGAAAGAAATTCTGTAGTAATGTGTTATTGGTAAAGGATGCAAGTAAAAAAAAAAGTGACATAGGATGTTGTATATTGAGAGTGCTTTAGCCACTTAATTTGTGTGCCCAGAGTCTAGCTAGATACTTAAGAAACAAAATTTGAGTAATATAGATCTCTACCCCCAAAGAACTCCTCCTCTGTTAGACTTGATTTGGGGGGCGGGGGTGAGAAGACTTGCTTTAGACACTTCATCAGCCTTTATAGGATGAAAATGTGCTTAATGTTATGCTGATATCATGTCTTTAAATTTAGTTTAAGTAGATAATATATTCCCAAGGAATAATTTTAAGCACTAAGAAAATCTGGTTTAGAGATACCTGGGTGGCTCAGTTGGTTAAGTATCTGCCGTCAGCTCACGTCATGATCCCGGGGTCCTGGGACTGAGTCCCGCATCGAAGGAGCCTGCTTCTCCCTCTGCCTGCTGCTCCCCCTGCTTGTGTGCGCTCTCTCTGACAAATCAATCAATCAATCAAATCTTAATTTTGTTTTAAGTGCAATATTCTTTTGTTGTGGGTCGTCGAGCACAAGGGCCAAGAAATTCTTGAGATACAATATGGTGCAACTTAGTAATTTATTTAAGTAGTGCGGGGACAGGACCCCTGGGCAGAAACAGCTGCACTGTGGCTGTATGAAGCTGGTGGATATATGCTTAGTGCTGAAGCGGGAGGGGACATGCAGGGAGTATTAGATCATAAATATTTCTTTGAATTTCTACTCATAAAACTACTTTTGCAAGATTTCTCTGGTGCTTATCATCCAGTTCAATATTAACTATCAGTGAGATATACAGGCAGTCATGAGACCCTTTAATGATGTATTTGAGCCTTATTAAAACTATGCAGGCCTTCTGGGCTAAATGTGAACATTTTTCTGCTTCCATCCCTCGTCACTTTTGTGGTATGTATCAGATTTACTATTTTCTCATTTGGCTGCAAGATCTCTAGTAGGAGCTTATGCATTATTGCTAGAAATCTTTTGAATTTATAACTTAAGGCCAAGTTTGGTTGGGAGAGCTTTATAATAGTAAGTCTTGGCAATAGAACCCAAGCAGAAATTAAGACTTTCTGTATTGAGTCCACTTAAAGTTGTATTTGTGCCTAATTAAAGCTTGAAAATGCCTGAATTAGGGGAAACTATGGAAAATGGCATAAAAATGGCAAAATGAAATATTAGGTTCTGCCAAAGAGAAGTTTTATCAATTTATGATTTAATGTTCACCTAGTTATCTTATACAAAAGGAAAAACTCTTGAGACTTCATCTTTGGGATATCTAAATATCCCAAATGTCTCCTAAATACTGCTTTCCCACAAACCCCAGGTTTGTCTACAGATAGGGAGGCAGATGGCAGGACAAATCCCACTAGGTGAGTGCTATTCACTTATTCTTGACAGAAATTAAATCCTTTGAAAATAATCATCAGTGGCAGTTTAGACAAAGAAATGGGAAAGAGGAGGAAACCAGAAGTCTGAGAGGTGTGTGAAGGGGGAAGAGTTTTTTTCAAGATTTTCCATGTTGATTCTCAGTATGAGTTTTTCCTTTTCCCCACTTACTAATCCACCACACATACTGTCCTCCTAGACAAAGCTTAGAAATCCTAAACCCAGTATAACTGGAAACTTGATTGCAGGTCTTAAAATCAGGGGCCTTCCAAAAGTTGAGTTAATCTCTCCAGATGTATTTCATCTGCTGCTAATGGAAAAGTGAAAAGTATAACCTTACACCCCAAAGCTGTTAGCTTAGCTGGCAGCATTAAACGAAAATGAGGAAATGCAAATCCTAATCTCTGGCACTGAAGTAGATAATTAGTTTTGGTTCTGAAATTTGCTGAATAAATTTAATTTTTATGGGTTATCTCACATCCTAATGAGCATTCCCCGTGATAGCTATACTTATGACCCTACCACTTCACAGGGCTGACATGTTTTCTGCTTTAGTTTTATCCAAGACTTGGTGTCAATGATTTTCTTGGTTCCTTAACTCAGAAAGACAAATTAGTGGAGAGCATTTACTACTTAAATTGCCTTATGTTGCTGCTTGCCATGCTTCCCTGGAAGAGATAAGGGTTTGGGTTTGTATTGTTCCAGGGAGGTGATTGGTTCTTAGTGGCATAATGAATTTACCAATCCCACTTTCAGTTTTAAAACCAGAATGCTGGAACAGCCTGCCACCCCACCCCTCATTTTAATCAGCAATTTAAGATAGTATTCTAAAGTATTCAAACATACAATAAAGTTAAGAGAATTGTGTAGTTAGCTCCCTTGTATCCAGCATTCAGCTTCAATAATTATCAACTACTTCTAGGCAGTTTTCTGAGCAGAAAATACATTGCCCTGGGATGGCTGGGTGGCTCAGTCAGTTAAGCGTCTGCCTTCAGCTCAGGTCATGATCCCAGGGCCCTGGGATTGAGCCCCACATTGGGCTCCCTGCTCAGTGGGGAGCCTGCTTCTCCCTCTGCCTGCCGCTCCTGCTGCTTGTGTCCTCTCTCTCTCTCTGAAAAATAAATGGGTAAAATCTTAAAAGAAAGAAAGAAAGAATGAACATTGCCCTGAAAGCTTCAATTCTTGATCAGTATTCAGCTTTTGTCTTTCAAATTTTGGTTCCTGGGGCTTTGGACCCTGCAATTGTATTAAAAGAAGTTTAAGAAATTTAGTGTTTAATAGTCTTTTGAAGGCACTCTCTTTTTTCAGCTCGCCTCCCCCTCAGGGAAATCCCCTGGTTGTAGGGTGCAAGGCGAAATCTGGAGATATTTTTTGTAGCTCGGAGATGTTTTTCATAGAACTGATCAATATCCCTATTTCCCTTCAGGGGACCGGCCTAAAAACGAAACTGGAGAACCTATGGGTGGCTAGTCAGTTCCTACCCTGCCTCAATGCTATTTTCTAAATATTTACAGAGAGTAAATTTACAGAATAGTTTCCTGGTCACACTCTGGAGAGTATCTCAATTACTTTCTTCCCACTACACTTCGCACTTCCTGTTGGGGATGAGTGTCAGTCTTTCTGAGTTTCAGGTGCTTGTACGGACTGGTTTCTAACCTCTCATCCAGAACGTCCAGGGCCGCTTGTGAGGCACTCCGTAGTAGGGCCTCCTGGGGAAAGAGAAACTGCTGACCCACAAAAAGCCAAACGAACTGTAAGCCTTGCACTCACCCACCCAGGTGCCTCGAAAAGTCAGAGTGCCGGGGAAGCTTGGGGAGGACCCTATTCCCCAATCTGCCCCTCGCTGGTCACCTCTATTGAATTCTTGGCTCCTGCTGTAAAAAAAAGGGTGCAGGAGAGACTTTAACCCGCAGCAGAGAGGCTGGGAATCCAGCATGCGATGCACCTCAGTCCTTAGTTTGGGGGCTCCTGTTTCCTTAAGCTTCGAAGGCGTGGTCATTCAGGGTCCCGATACCGCCTCTCGCCGCCACCGCCCGGCGGTTTTTCTGGGAGTTCCGCTCTCCTCGCGGGCACTGTAGGGGTTCTGGGGGTCCGAGCGCCCGGCACTGGACGTTCCGCGGTCAAACAGTGGCGAGAGGAGCCCAGCCGAGCTCAGCCCTAGCTACGAGCAGTCTTTAGGCGGCGTCTGTGGAGGTTAAGACGCGGCGGGTCTTAGGGCGTTGTCCTTAGAAACGCCGGTCGAGGGAAGATGTGTTAGTTTCCCCGAGCGTCTTCCTTGCCCCGCCCGGCGCGGGCCGCCGGGACTTCGGAGAGATCCCAGCTAGCGGGGATTGGAGACGGCGCCTCCCTAGCCCGAGCGGTTTACCTCGTCTCTGCACCCCTAGGCGGCGCTGCGCTCCTCCGCACCGGCCAGCCCCGCTTTCCCAGACGGCTGCCAAAGCTCCAGTCCGGCGAGCAGACCTTCCAGCCCGCCAGTCCCGGGCAATTGCAGTATATTCAGGAGGCCGAACGTCGGCGATCTGTGCCCTTCTAGCCCGCTGCGGAGGGCGGCCGGCCCTTGCTCTTTCCTGGGGTTCGTGCTCTCCGGGAGTCCGGAGCATGGTCCTGGGTCACTGCTGGTGGAGCGAGGACGCCGAGAGGGAGGATGGCGGGCTGGAAGGTGGCGGTTTTATGTCTGTGGGTCTCCTGCGGCTCTGCCGCCGGACAGCTGGAATACTCAGTGTTGGAGGAGACCGAGCGGGGCGTAGCCGTAGGCAATGTTTCCGCGGACTTGGGGCTGTCAGCGGCCGCTCTGTCCTTGAGGAACTTTCGCTTCCTTTCCGGCCACCGCGAGCCCTACTTCGGGGTGGATCTGGCCAGCGGTGGCTTGGTGGTCCTAGAGCCGGCGGACCGCGAACGGCTGTGCGAGACCAAAGCTGTCTGCGTCTTGACCTATGAGCTGGTGCTCGAGGACCCGCTGGAGCTACACACGATGCGAGTTCACGTCGTGGACACCAACGACAACTCGCCTTTCTTCCCTGCCGGCGACGTGCAGCTGCACATCCCCGAGTTCCTGATGCCGGGAGCCCGCTTTACTCTTCCTAATGCCCAAGATGCTGACGAGGGAAGCAACGGGGTCCTAAGCTACAGTCTGAGCCCCAGCCAGCACTTTCGCCTGATCATGGGATCGCAGGTGGACGGCAGTGAATACCCGGAGTTGGTATTAGCGAAAGCGCTGGATCGGGAGCAGCGCGCCACCCACCAGCTGGTGCTCAGCGCTAGGGACCGCGGGCAGCCCGCGCGCTCCGGAGACGCACGAGTTACCATCATAGTGGTGGACACAAACGACAATGCGCCTGTATTTGAGCGCACAGTGTACCGCACCAAGGTACCAGAGACTGCACCGAACGGGACTGTGTTACTACGAGTTCAGGCCTCGGACCCGGATGAAGGCTCCAATGGGGAAATCCGGTACTCCTTAAGCAACAGCACGCGAGCAGCGCTGCGACACCACTTTCACGTGCACCCTAGAACTGGGGAGGTGCGGGTAGCTGCTTCACTAGGTCCACCTGAAACGTTGTTGGAGGCGTACATTGAGGCGAGGGATGAGGGCACCTTCGGTTTAGCTAGTACTGTCAAACTGCTGGTGGAAGTGACGGATGTGAATGATCATGCCCCCGAGGTGAATCTCCTGACTCTGTCCAGTTCAGTTTCTGAGGACGCTGCCCCTGGCACAGTGATTGCTCTCCTCAGTCTCAGGGATGAGGATCTCGGTCCCAACGGTAAGGTCGTTTGTAGCATGTCCAGTGGAGGCCCTTTTAAGCTGAAGGCTTCCTTTGACAACTACTACAGCTTGCTGACTGATGGGCCGCTGGACCGGGAGCAGGTCAGCGAATACCAGGTCCTGATCACTGCCTCAGATGGTGGCTCACCCCCCTTGAGCACCCGCAAGACACTGACTGTGTCTGTTGCTGATGTGAATGACAATTCACCAAGCTTTGCTCAACCACAACAGGAACTTTTTGTGGCTGAAAACAATGGTCCTGGGGCCTCTCTAGGCTGTGTGTTTGCCCAGGATCCCGACCTGGGGAAGAATGGCCTTGTCTTCTATGAGCTGTTGGATATTATCTCTGAAAGGCAGACAGCCTCTAGCTTGGTGGCAGTAGAATCATCCAGCGGGGCTATCACTGCCAAAACGTCCTTTGACTTTGAGCAGCTCAGGGGGTTTCACTTCCAAGTGGAAGCCCAGGATGGTGGCATTCCTCCCAGGAGTGCAACAGTGACTGTGAACTTGTTTGTGGTAGATAGGAATGATAATGCTCCAGTCATCTTGGTTCCCGTGCCCAGAAATGGCTCCATTCCAGTGGAGATTGTGCCCCGCTCTGCCAGAAGTGGACACTTGGTCACAAAAGTGGTAGCAGAGGATGCAGACAGTGGCTCTAATGCTTGGCTTTCCTACCATATTTCTCAGGCTTCTGACTCCAGCCTTTTCAGAATTTCAGCCAGTATGGGAGAGCTCCGAACTGCCCGATTAATTCTTCCCAGTGATGCGGTTAAACAGAGGGTGGTGGTCGTGGTTCGGGACCAGGGAGACCCATCACTTTCCTCTTCTGTCACATTGGGTGTACTGTTGAGCAACTCTGCCCCTCAGGTCCTTCCAGACTTTGAACATACCTGGGAAACAGGAGGCCACCTTTCTACCCAGAACCTGTACTTAGTAATTGCTCTGGCCTGTATTTCCTTTTTATTTCTGGGGTGGTTACTTTTCTTTTTGTGCATCAAGGTGAACCAGAGCCCAGTTTGTTGTTCTCAAAGGTGCTGTCACTCCCCAGAGGAATTGAGGTATGCGAGGAAGATGGCTTCGAGTCCTTGTATGTTATCAGCCACAGTAGACGTCACTACAGTTGAGAGACTTTCTCAGACCTATCTCTATCATGCCTCTCTAGGACTTGGTTCTGATAATAACAGTTTGCTGTTGCGTGGGGAATACAGTACTGCTGACCTGAGAAATCTGGCTACGGGGGTAGGATTGAATTTGCCAATATCCTGCATTCATATTCGGAATAGGAAAGGGGATCACATAAATGTCAATGCCATGGTAAGCAAATTTTTGGAGATTTGATTCCCTTGGCCAGGAGATGACTGCTAGCTGTGTTCTGAAATGCTTCTTAGGTGAGTCTTCGGCAACATTTATTCCACTGAATTGAACACTCCTGCTTAGCACCCACTGTGCTAAGAATTTTGGGCATATATAAGTATTAAAAGACTGTCCACGGAGTTTATAGTTTATTTTTGAGAAACAAGGGTAAGAAATTCAAAACCATCAAAGAACAATAAAAGTAATATAGCATAAAGGTCTAAAATTAAGAAATAAGGCACCAGTTTCTGGTACAGGTAATAAATGACCTGGAAAGTTTTTAATTCCCTTTGGGAATTTGTTTAAGGAATTATTTAAAGCATAAATCCCTTCATTCAAAAAACTATTTTGTGCAACAGATATGTGTAAGACATTCTGACACCGAAAGTGGGAATGAAAAATATACACTACTCTTTGCATAACATAAGCATGATATCATGGAAGATGAGACATTTGCTCAAACCATTACAATACATGATTTAATGATGATAACCTAAAAAATGTAAAAATAAATTGCAATGGATGTTCAAAGAACGGAGAGAGAGACTGTGAGAGAACATCTAGGAAAGGAGGAAGGAGTCAGAGAAGGCATGATGGTAGAGATGGCATTTGAATTAAATCTTGAATGATACACTATTTAATAAAATGCAACATATTTTCTAGATCATACTTTAAATAAATGCCATTTTTGACAGAGTAGTCCTTTTCGAGAATGACACTCTAAAACATAGCTAATAGCTCCATACAGTGTTTCTCAGTATATGGAAATTATAAGCATGTCTCAGAACACCTGTTTGTATTGATAGAAAGAAGATCAAACCATTGGGTATAGGACTTGACAACCTTTAATTTTGTGTTTTTATTGATATACTTCACAAATAAAAGATGAGTATTTTTTAAATTTTAATTCCAGTGTAGTTAACATACAATGTTATATTCAATTCAGGTGTACAATATAATGATTCAACAATTCCGTATATTACTCAGTGCTTGAAAGGGAATTGTTACATCAGAAACATTAGTGTGTTCAAGGTGCATTTGCCATTCAAAGTCCATTCAACTTGGATTTAATTTTCTTATTATTTTAGAGGGCAGTATACTTTAAAATAAGTAAATACCATATTTGAGAGTAATGCATCTAATGAAAGTTAAATTATTCAAATACTTAAATGTATCCATAGTGGCCCTTTGCATTTCAGAAACTTTTTGAATAGAGTGAGGACAATCTTTAGCAATTTTACGATATGAGTTTCTGACTTCTCATAGAGATCATGGAAACAAGGGAAGGAGGTATGCAGAGATTAAGGAAGAGAATGGAAGATTCCTTGTTTTACTATTCCAGGTAATAGGGGAAAAGTGAGTTATAAGTTATTCTCCTCAAATAATGATGTTAACTGCAAATAAAATAGATTTACATGCATTATAGTTTTGCATATTTGATATTCTCACATGACATAATAGAATGTAATATATGAGAGTAAATGCTTGCTGAATGAAAGAATAAATACATTTGCTGGGCGCCTGGGTGGCTCAGTTGGTTAAGCAACTGCCTTCGTCTCAGGTCATGATCCTGGAGTCCCTGGATCGAGTCCTGCATCAGGCTCCCTGCTCGGCAGGGGATCTGCTTCTTCCTCTGACCCTCCCCCCTCTCATGTGCTCTCTCTCATTCTCTCTC